TGGCAGGTATTAATGTTTTAATAAGTTTTATTTCTGCAGTATTTGCTGGACGTGCAATAGCACTTTTTGTACCAAAAGGTGTTTTTTATGATGATATACAACCAATACCAAGACCAATGCTATACCAACCATATACAAATCGATTTGGATTTTAATTCTATTGATATGAATTGACAATATTTCTTTTTTGCTAGTAGTTAAATTATTATTTATTAGAATAATTAAGATCGGAGAATTTTCAGTTTCTTTGTTTTTTTTTTTTAAACATTTGCTTAATGGGAAAAGGCGATGAATAAATATTGATAAATGATTTTTTTTTGTGTGTGAATGTGTATCTAATTGATTACAAGAGAATTAGAAAATTGCCTTTTTTTCTTTCTCGTTAGTAATATATCTTTCGACTTTTTTCTATTGTGAATTACTAGATTGCGTGATTAAAATCATATTACTAGTTATTATGTGTGGATAAAATAGTGTGTAAATGAAAGTCAACGTGATCTTTACTCAACCCATCTATGATTGATTGTGACGGTTAAGTCTATTTGGTACGATTCATGGGAACAAGCAAGGCTTGATATTTTTCGATAACATTATTTATGTTAGAGAAAGTACTATAGCATATTTTTTTGAGGTATACTCAAGAAGAGTTTTTATGAGAAGAATAGAAATCATACTAATTTGAGCAATTTCACATGTTTTCTTAGTTAATGAAAATCTACTCTAAAATATATTATATTTACGAAAGAAGTTCTATTCTGCATTTAATAAGATACTACTAATTATGAAAAATAATCTTAATGGATATCTAATCTTGATCGTGTCTATTACACAACAGAAGAATTTCCTTCAAGATCTTTTCTTATTAATAGAATAAAGACGTGACTACAATAAATAGATATTTTTATCAATTTCAAATATGAGTGGGATATTCCTATTAATCTAACAACTTCCCAAAGGCTATAAAATAAATCGACGATGAAATCATTAAATCTCTACTTTCTCGTTTCAAACAATTCATAACTTTATTTTCTTATTTAAACATATTTTTTTCAATTTTAGTCCGAATCATCAGCATCATTTGGTCTTTCATTAGAACCAAATCTATTACCAGTAACATCGAATAAAAATGAACTTGATATTAATTATGAAAATATGATTGAAAATTTATTATTACAACAAGTATTACTTTATACACGAGAACGATCAAGAAGTTTACATCCATTACGTTCACCATCATCAACAACAAATTCTTTATTAGTACGACAACAAGTTAATGTACAATGTGATCAACATTCATTATTAAATTGTTCAACATATGATAATGATGATGATGAACCAACATTATGCCTTATTGAAGCTCGTCGACAAAATTCAAGTGATTTAATTGAAAATATTCTTAATCAATATAATCAACGTCTTGATCATCGTTCAAATTTTGATCAAACTTTAATGGAATTAATTGTTAAACGTAATCGTGAACGTCAAAAAGTATCATCCTATGCAAATAATATATTTTATTCACGTCTTCAATGGCTTGCTATAGGCTTTGTTATAGATCGTTTATTTTTTTGTATTTATTTTGCAGCAACAATAATCTCTTATTTGGTTACATTATGGTTTATACCTTTTACACATCCAAATTTAAAAATTGATATTCAAACATTATAGTTATTAAATAAGACGAAATCATTTTTTTTTTTTTTTTTGGATGGAAATTTATTTTTAATAATAAGTAGATCAATCAATTCGTTTTTTTTTATTACATTAAATAATGCATATATAGCAAAATATAAATACATACAACACAACGAAGATTTCTTCTTCACCGGTATTTATATTATAAAAACATGAACAAAAGAAAAACTATTCTTTAATTTTCTGTTTTTGATGAATTAATAAATCGATCAAAAAAAGCTCTTATTATACTACCCGGACGTCGTTGATGGGTTTCAATCATTGTTTCGATTTCTTTTTTAACCTAAAAGAAAAACATCATCATACAAAATAATAAAGGGTTCTGATGAGTATTTTTCAATAGACTCGGCGGATATGTAATTTCTTTTTAACTTAGAGAGACCTTATTTTCTGTTCAATAAAATCGATGTGAACGATCTTTACTATATATATATATATATGGGCCATTTCAGGTAAAACAGGGCAAAGGCTCTTTCATCTGACTATTAATTTACTTTATTAGAGTAGTCACAAAAAGTTACGCTAACAGGTAAAAAGTATCTAAACTTTATCGTAAGGACTTGATCGATCTTCATATGAAAGAAGGCAAATCTCATGATGTTAGACTTCTTATTCGATAGCTTAAAGCTACTTCTATCATGAATAAAAATATCATGTCAAACAGTTTTAATTTGCTTGATTTATGAAGTATTCTTTGAATAATCTCCACATGAGAGTTAATGAAAATCGTCAGATCTTCGGCTAAACTTAACCATTAGTCTTGAAATTTTCTCCAGTGAATATCATGGTTTAATCAAATTTTTCTTGAAAATTTCACGCTTCTAGCCATTGATGAGGAAGATATTCATGCTGAGATATTCTCAAACAATGGAGACTTCTCCACACCTAAAGATTATAGAGGATTGAAGCATTCTATCGTTAACACAATAGAGACATGCAAATCTTTATATATTAATAAAAAAAATGTAAATCCTTCGTATGA